TCACCACCCAGCACACTCACCACCCAGCACACTCACCACCCAGCACACTCACCACCCAGCACACTCACACACCAAGTACACACCACCCAGCACACTCCCACCCAGCACACTCACCACCCAGCACACTCACCACCCAGTACACTCACCACCCAGCACACTCACCACCACAGTACACTCACCACCCAGCCCACTAACAACCCAGCCACTCACCACCCAGCACACTCACCACCCACACACTCACCACCCAGTACACTCACCACCCAGCACACTCACCACCCAGCACACTCACCACCCAGTACACTCACCACCCAGCACACTCACCACCCAGCACACTCACCACCCAGCACACTCACCACCCAGCACACTCACCACCCAGCACACTCACCACCCAGCACACTCACCACCCACACTCACCACCCAGCACACTCACCACCCAGCACACTCACCACCCAGCACACTCACCACCCAGCGCACTCACCACCCAGCCCACTCACCACCCAGCACACTCACCACCCAGTACACTCACCACCCAGTACACTCACCACCCAGCACACTCACCACCCAGCACACTCACCACCCAACACTCACCACCCAGTACACTCACCACCCAGCACACTCACCACCCAGTACACTCACCACCCAGCACACTCACCACCCAGTACACTCACCACCCAGCACACTCACCACCCAGCACACTCACCACCCAGCACACTCACCACCCAGCACACTCACCACCCAGCACACTCACCACCCAGCACACTCACCACCCATCACACTCACCACCCAGCACACTCACCACCCAGTACACTCACCACCCAGTACACACTCCCACCCATCACACTCACCACCCAGTACACTCACCACCCAGCACACTCACCACCCAGCACACTCACCACCCAGTACACTCACCACCCAGCACACTCACCACCCAGCACACTCACCACCCAGTACACTCACCACCCAGTACACTCACCACCCAGCACACTCACCACCCAGTACACTCACCACCCAGCACACTCACCACCCAGCACACTCGCCACCCAGTACACTCGCCACCCAGTACACTCACCACCCAGCACACTCACCACCCAGCACACTCACCACCCAGCACACTCGCCACCCAGCACACTCGCCACCCAGTACACTCACCACCCAGTACACTCACCACCAGCACACTCACCACCCAGCACACTCACCACCAGCACACTCACCACCCAGCCACTCACCACCCAGTACACTCACCACCCAGCACACTCACCACCCAGCACACTCACCACCCAGTACACTCACCACCCAGCACACTCACCACCCAGCACCTCACCACCCAGCACACTCACCACCCAGCACACTCACCACCCAGCACACTCACCACCCAGCACACTCACCACCCAGCACACTCACCACCCAGCACACTCACCACCAGCACACTCACCACCCAGCACACTCACCACCCAGTGCACTCACCACCCCACAGCACTCACCACCCAGCACACTCACCACCCAGTACACTCACCACCCAGTACACTTACCACCCACACTCACCACCCAGCACACTCACCACCCAACATACTCACCACCCAGTACACTCACCACCCAGCACACTCACCACCCAGTACACTCACCACCCAGCACACTCACCACCCAGTACACTCACCACCCACACACTCACCACCCAGCACACTCACCACCCAGCACACTCACCACCCAGCACACTCACCACCCAGCACACTCACCACCCAGCACACTCACCACCCATCACACTCACCACCCAGCACACTCACCACCCAGTACACTCACCACCCAGTACACTCACCACCCATCACACACCACCCAGTACACTCACCACCCAGCACACTCACCACCCAGCACACTCACCACCCAGTACACTCACCACCCAGCACACTCACCACCCAGCACACTCACCACCCAGTACACTCACACCCAGTTACACTCACCACCACACACTCACCACCCAGTACACTCACCACCCAGCACACTCACCACCAGCACACACCCACCATACACTCGCCACCCAGTACACTCACCACCCAGCACACTCACCACCCAGCACACTCACCACCCAGCACACTCGCCACCCAGCACACTCGCCACCCAGTACACTCACCACCCAGTACACTCACCACCCAGCACACTCACCACCCAGTACACTCACCACCCAGCACACTCACCACCCAGCACACTCACCACCCAGCACACTCACCACCCAGCACACTCACCACCCAGCACACTCACCACTCAGCACACTCACCACCCAGCACACTCACCACCCAGTACACTCACCACCCACACACTCACCACCCAGCACACTCACCACCCAGCACACTCACCACCCACACACTCACCACCCAGCACACTCACCACCCAGCACACTCACCACCCAGCACACTCACTACCCAGTACACTCACCACCCAGCACACTCACCACCCAGTACACTCACCACCCAGCACACTCACCACCCAGCACTCTCACCACCCAGCACACTCACCACCCAGCACACTCACCACCCAGTACACTCACCACCCAGTACACTCACCACCCAGCACACTCACCACTCAGCACACTCACTACCCAGCACACTCATCACCTAGTACACTCACCACCCAGCACACTC